ATTAAGATTGGACCTAGCTGCACCTAAGCTCCATCAGGAGTTCAGAAAGCAAGGGGGTCTACTCTGAACCTCGTGACTCAACGGGTAAGTCTTCCTTACTCTCTGCAACTCCGGTCTCTCTATGAATCATTCTAAGTCGAGTGTAACTCAATTTTCCTTTGTACGATTCTTCCATGCAGTAATTAATAGAGTGAACCTTGCCATCGAACTTTCTTAAGTCGCACTTTACTTTTAAGTCGCACACATACCACATCATATTAAAACCACTTTTGCTGTTACCTTTGTTGGTGATTCCTTAAGCATCCTAAACCACCCATTCACGACAACTGTGTGTGGAGAGCTCCAGCCAAACCAGGCTCCCTGCCAGCATGGCATGGGCCAGAAAGAGCTGAGTTTAAGCACTAACTGCATCCTTGACCTGGATTCGAGGTGACACACATCCCATAGCTCTGCTGAGGCACCCAAGGATGCTCCAAGAGCATCAGAGCTGCTGGCCACCAGGCAGGACAGGTGAGGGGAATTCAGGCTCGTGCTAGGTACATGGTTCCTCCATGCAGACCTCCTGTGATCCTCCTCATTGCAAATCTCACCACTCTGGGGACCCCCTGACACAGGTCCCACTCAGCCCTGACGAATGTGGAGCCCCAAAGCCATCTAAAATAGGGCCAAATCTGGAGCTGCCTGCCAAGGCTTAGCAATGCCTCATGGGCCATCATCTATGCAGAGGGAAAAGCCAGAGATCAACCAAATGCTCAGAGAGGACAACAAATGGAAAAGAGAGATGGGTTAAAAATGTAAGAACAGAGACTGGGAGGATGCCCCAGAAAGCAGAGCATCCCCACTGCGCTCATCATTCCCAGAGCTGGTGCATGCTGCTCCATGATGCTCTGTCCAGAGGTATCCAAGGACAGGGGAGTAAGAAAAAGGCCCACAGTCTGTGTGTCTTCCCACCCCCCTGCCCAGCCACTGTGGGATATTGGACTTGATGGACCTTCAGTCTAACCCAGTCCAGCCTCATTTCAATTTTCATCAGCTAATTTTAATTTTAAAAGCTCCCCTGGAATTATATTGCTTTCAGAAAATGTTTGGCCTCGGTGCTACTGGCCTGCAATTCCCCAGTGAAACCAAAGGGAAATGGGTGAGCAAAGCCTGAGGAATATTTATCAGGCTGATATTGAGTTCAGTTCATTAGCAATTACCTTGATTTGTCTTCCCATGCTCTTGCCAATTTACCAGGGCAGCGTCTTGGAAACTCGCCTCATTTGGAGAGAACAGGATGTAATTAGCCAGATAATCTGCTGATTCTCCTGTCGAGCTCTGTGTGCCCTGTCTCGACACGGGCAGTGGCTGCGCAGGCTGGATCAGACCTGATTTCTGGTGCTGTTTATGCCCTTAGTGCTATGTAGGCAGGAAGGAAGATGCTGTCCTGCCCTCGGGCAATGACAAATCCACCTCTTGGATCATTTCTCAAGCTGTAACCCCTGGGCTGAAACCATCTGGGAGCTTTTGTTCTGGGGTTAGCTTCTTTGCCGAGGCAACAGGATTCCCAAGGGTATGCGGATACCTATTTTTGAAAAGGATGATTTATTTCCCTAGGGCAGCTCATTTCTATTTTCTCACCGTGTCCATCCTTGCTGCTTTATTCCAAACCACTAGCTAAGGTCAAGCAACTCAGCCACAAGGTGCAGCACAGCAAGGGCTCAGTCACAAGTTACTGGGCGCAGATGGCACCACGTAAGCGATGCCTGAACATTTTAACTGCTAAGGGAAATTTCAGGGAATACCCAGTGCTGCAGAGTCCTTCAGGAGACAGAGGAGAGTTGTTTTCTACCAACTCAGTCCCGACCCTGCAATTCAACCAATGAAAAGGGATGCTGCATGTTGCATATTATGCTCTCCTCCCACTCACAACCCAGCCAAGACCCCTCAGCGCTGCCACAGGGGCTGTACAGGCTGCCCGCGACACTGGGACAGTACTCTAGGTCTATGATTGAGTTGTGCCTCCCTTAATTACCCCCTTCACCAGGATGGAAAAAGGCCATCAAGGCATGCCTTGGGTTCCCCTCCACTCTGGGGAAGGGCCCTGCCTTGCAGGCGGGGGTGCAAGTGCCCTGTGTTTCTTTCTCGGATCGCAGCTGAACTGCGTTTCAGCTCCTTGAGTCTCTGGCTGGTCAGTCAGTGGGCAAGCACAGAGCTGCGAGCAGATGAGAGCAGCAAGGACCAGAGCAGGGTGTCACAGTGGGGCAGTTTATGGGGAGCAAGGGACAACAAGAATCCAAGAGAGGCTGGTGAGGAGGCAGAGGAGGGGCTGTGAACGCCTGTCCCATGTGGAGAGGGGCAGAAGTGTGACAACGGGGCAGGGCAGCGAGCACCAGGTCATGCAGCACCCGGCGCTGGTAAGGGCTCTCCTGCCGCCAGGCTCGGGGCCCTCCGCAGCCCTCCTGCTGCCAGCCCCTTAGGAGCTCCCTGGAGAAGTCTCTCAGCCTGTTTTCCTGGTTTTGAATGCAGGGGTTATCGCACAGCTCTAGCTGAAAAATGAGCAGACAGCAGTGCTGTGTGAGCTGTGCCAGGCAAGAGGGATCACAGGGACTGTGAGTGGCAGCAGAGAGAGGCGGCGGAGGAGGGATTCAGCTGAGGGCATGCTTTCTGTGCCAAGGACTGTATGCGGCCCATTGTCTTCTGAGGGCCAGGCCAATATTGAAGCACTTCAGGAGGGACAACCAGACCCACATGAGGACAGAGGCCAGGCTGGGGCAGGGGTGGCTGCGGGGATCAAGATCCACGAAACTGACAGTGCCAGACCAGAGGGCACAGCCGGACACCGTCACCTGCAGCACCCAAACCAGGCTGCTTCACCAAGCTGGGGGGAAGACAAATGCCACCCCCGCCCCCAGAAACCACGTCTTCTTTTCTCCTCTCCTCTCTGGAAGCGTCTCTGGGCGCGCTCTGAGGGGTCCCTCAGGGACTGCGGGCTTTGGGGGCTGATGGAAGGCGTGAGCGCTGAAGGGCTGGTTCGCAGCAAGGCTGGCCTGTGCAGAAACGGCAGTTGGACGTCTGGAAACGCAGCACAAGCACACCACAGCTAGGAAGCCTATCAAGAAAATATAACTTTTTCCTAAACGGGAAATCCCCGAGGTCATCTGGGAAATGCCTGCCTGTGGGAAACCCAGGCCTTCCCCTGGCCCTGGCCGTGCCCTGTCATGGCGGGGAGCGCTGCTCTCCCTCCTCGGGGGACGCTGATAAAAACCCCTCTGCCCTGCTCCTGCGGGCCAGCAGCTTTGCCTGGGGAAGATCCGTCGGGCAATGGCGGATCTTCTCCACACAGGTGCTGAGGGACGGGGCGAAAGGCTGGGGAGGCAGCGAGGAGTTTCTGAACCCCTCCTGAAGCTGCCCCGGCTGCCTACGCTCACCCCCGGCCCTGCCTTCTGCTCAGCTGGCTCACGGAGCGGGCCTGCCCCGCTCTCCGGGGCTGGGCTCCGCCGAACCGCCCGGCCGCGGCCGCAGGGGCGGGGGGCGCGGCCGCCCGCCCGCGCCCTTCTCTTCCC